AATTGCTAATACTTTTGTGCAGGATTGTGCTATTGTTTGTAGTTTTTGATAGTCTTTGTAGATAATATTAATAAAATAAATTATTAATTATTTATAGTATAAAGCTGTATTATTTTGAATTTTTTTTTTAATTTTGGTGATAAAATTATACTTTTAACTTTAATTAAACTTCTTTATAAGAAACAAAATTATATTTTAAATTTATACAAAATAGAAATTACATTTGAAATTTATACAAAATAAAAATTACATTTGAAATTTATATTTAAAAAATATTAAGACTAAAGACTCAAATATAATACTAACAAAATAATTTTTGCACAACTCATTCTAACACTCTCTGAACAATACAACAAAAAACTGAATTATATAAAAATATTATAAGAAGCTTCAAGATAAATACTATTCTTAGTTCTAACTTTGAGTAAACAGTTGTCAATAAAGTCTAAAGATGTGAAATACTAATAAGTAGATATAACTTAGATGGTTTTTCTTAAGTTTAAACCTTTTTAGTTTTTGGTAGATTCTCTAAGATATTTGGTATTCAAATTAGATTTATTTTAGAAACTAAACTTATCTCTGAACAGGTTGCTGTTAACGAAGTTTGAAAAATATAAAACACTAAAAAGTAATATAACTTAGATAGTTTTTTTTGAAGTCAAGTTTTTTTTTGCTAATGAACTCTTCAAGATATTTGATATTTAACTAGAAGATTTATTCTAGAAGCAAGTAGTGGTTCAGTTCTTGCTAAGATAGAGTTTAAGTCAGAAAGCCTGAATACTTGGATACTTCAAGCTATCCTAAACCAGCCAGGAGATAATCGAAGAAAGAAAAACTGGTTAATAGTACAGAGTACAAAGAATAAAGAGAATAAGAACCTAGTTTTCAAAAGAACCATTAAGAAAAGAAAAAAGAAGCAAACTTTAACAGAGTACTGGAATGCAGAAGAAGATCTAAATACATTATTGATCAAGTTAAAAAAATGTAGCGGTTGTGAACTCAATTAAGAGAAGCAAGAAAATTTATGTAGAGCAGTACTAAAAAAAAAAGTACTGCAGAGAACTATCACAAAATATATAGACAAGCAGAAGGAGAATGTCTTTAAAATTTCTTAAGAAGAATTCAAAACAACTCAACAGCTTTCAAGATCAGAAATACTACCAAATGAAAGAGAAGTATATGAAATTCACTACCATGACCTAGACACAAAAATTATTAATAAGCAGTTCATTAGCGAGAAGATGAAAGCAGATCTCATGGTCAAGAATTCAAAAATGAGAAAAAGTCTATCACCACAAATGATTTTCTATACTGATGGTTCCTTAAGGAGTAGAAATACATCTACACAGAATGAGTTAGTGAGAATGAGAGCTAGCTAGATACAAGTTAACGAAGAAGAAAACCAAAAGCTAAATCAGGGCTATTTTGAAGCAAAAAAGTGGCTATTATTGATGAAAGCTGAATTGCTCAGAATTTGGTATATGCTTCTTTTAGTACCAAGTAAAAAAAAGGTAAAAATATACACATACAGTATGTTAGCGATAGAAGATATAGAAAAAAGAGAAGAAAAGAGAACAATACGACAAATATTTAAGGAGAAAAATTATAGTCTAATAAATAGTATAGTTGATATAGCTAAAATTAAGGAAATTTAGTTAGAATTAGTCAAAGTAAAAGGTTATAGTGAAAATAGGTAGAATAATTTAGCAGATAGTTTAGCAAAATTAGAGTTTAAAATAGAAGATAAGGATGACATAATAGAGAAACCCTCCAGGAGTCAAATGTCTCTTTGTGTCGAGAAGATGAAACAGTAGAAAACCCTTCAAGACATTTTATACAAACAATTCTTTGTCTCTAAACAAGCTTAGATTGGAAAACATCAACTACAATACAGAAAGAAAAACCAGACAACGTATTAGAGATAAATTACTGGCCAATCTTGTGGAGGAAAATTAAAAGCCAAAGTGAAATTAGATGCACTAGCTCAAAAAAGAACTAACGGTTAGGGATATTGATTAAATGCCTCATGAAAGATTACCAGTACTTAAAACCTTGGCTAATAGAAGACCAGATCTATATGAAAGCTCTTGTTGTATAATCTGCAAGAAAAATAAAGAGAAAGACCAAGCCCATCTAACAAAATATGAGAAGTATGAAGAGAAATGGAATGAATCAAAACAAACTATATCAAATTTAGCTTGAGCAGTACTATCTACAAAAACAAGAGAGCAGATTAACAAGATCCAACTCAAGAACACTTTATGAGGTCCAACAAGAGAAGAAAGAATTAAAACAAAATTTGATCTTTTTAAGGGTCTAATCCAGGAAGAGGTTTTCAGAAAACTACTTGATATTATAAGGCTACTGAAAAAAGTGAAGAATTATTTGGAAATGGCAATAAGCTTAGTATAGAATTTCTTTTTCAAGAACATCTAGAAATATAGATGTTTAGCTGTTAATAAGTAGAAAAAAGAAGAAGGTATTGATACTAAACAGAAGAGAAGATGAAAATCAAAAATAAAAGACTCCAATATTAATACAAAGCAGCCATGCAAGACTACAGGGGAGTTTCTTGACGGACAAGATTAAACCAAAGGAAAAGTAAAGAAAAAAGAAAGAAAGAAAAAGAGAAGAAAAAAAACAAAAAAAAGGTGACTTGGTTTAAATCAATCAAAAACCACATTGTAAATAAAGCAAAACTATTCTGGTATGGTTTTGCAGGCTAGCTTGGTGCAGCCCCTGGTGCAGGTATAAGCCTTATCCGGTGTGGCAGACCGCTCTTGGACACCCTCAGGGGAGCTGAGAGATGTCAGATCTATAGCTTAGATAGTTAATATATATATATATATGCTTTGATTTAATAAAGATACCGGCGAGGCTGCCGATAGTAGGAAAAAAAAATAAAATAACATTATCTACATGTATACTAGAAATAAAAATTGAAAATTGATAAATTTGTAATTAAATAATTTTAAAATTTTAAACCAATTGGTTGTTAAATGATTATCTACTTAATAAACATGAAAATTTAAATAAATTAGAACTAATTTATAAAAATTAGTCTAAGTGATTAGAAAAGTTTTGCTAATCTAAATCACTAATTTGTACTGCAAAAGATAACTCTGAATCTAAATACAGCACATATTTAAATCCAATTTTTAATAAATAATTGCCATAGTTAAAGCTAAAAATTAGAATCCTTGATTTAAAAATATATACCCTACCGAAATCCTTTTATTATCAAAACTAATCCTAAATCCCAACTCACTTTCATATAATGTCGGAACACCAAAAGTTTCTGGAAATATATAAAAATCATCTAGTCATGAAGGAAGAAATGCGATCTACTAGACTGATTTTAATAATTCTATCATTATTAGAACCGCTCTATAATATTTGTTAAAACTTTAGTTGTAAGCTAGCTGCATTCCAACTTTATAAAACAAACTATATTAACTTTTGACGATTTCTACTATGAAATTTACTATCTTTTATCACGATTTACCTCTGCCGCGACAATGTTTATTAAATTTTATAAACTACAGTATATAGATTACATCAATATTTATTTAGGTATTTCTAATTAATTTTTTATCTAAATTTATTCTAAGGTCTTTAAAAAAAAAAAAAAAGAAAAGACTTATAATTATTAAAAAAAAATTTGAAACAGACAAAAGAGATACATGTAATAGTAAATCATAACACAAAATAATGTATGTTACAATCTAAACGATTAAAATGTGTAAAATTATTTACATCGAGAATTATAATCGAGGAAAAAAAAACTTTTGAATTACCTATAATACCTATATGTAAATACATCACCAAATATCACCAAAATAAGAGGTTAATAACCACGAAAAGAAATTTTTAAAGGAATTAAAAGTAGAAATATCTACAAAAAACCAAGCGATTATAGAAATCAAAACCACCACGAAAGCACCGATAGTGAATAAAGATAAATTAAATCTAGTTAAAGGATTACGAAAAGTATTATTGTTATTAGAAATATTTTTATTTTGTTGTCTAATTTGTTTATTAGCATAATCAATCTTCTTATCCAAATCAGTTTCTTGAGCACCATAATGTTTGGCTAATTGAAATGCGGAAATCGAATCATGAAATTTATTTTTCTCAAGTAAAATGCAACCTATTCGAATTTTTAAATAAAATTAAGAAAAATTAATAAAAATCAAGTGAACATATTTTAAGAGAGAGATATATATATATGTAGAGAGAGAGAGGATACCTTTACGATAATATCCTTTTGCCCATTTTGGATCTAGACGAATACAAGTTTCAGCATGATCAAGAGCATCATCCAATTTACCAAGTTTTAAATAAACTTGAGCACAATTAGAATTAACCAATAAATCATTTGGATTAATTTCAAAAGCTTTCAAATATTTTTCTAAACTTTCATTAAAACTTTGTTTTTTATAAAGTTCATTTCCTTGTAATCTTAATTTTTCAGTATTGTTTTCATTTATAGAAGTTTTATCAAATACAATATTACCATCATCGGAATCATCAGATGAATCGGTGATCATAGTTTTAAGATCTTTACGAGTTATTACTTTTTTTTCAAGTTCTTGACGTTTTCTTAATAATTTTTCAGCTTCTTCAACCTTTTTAAAAAAAAAGAATAAATTTTTTTTTATGAAATTAATAAGAAAATAACGTTATAAGTTATAACGTTAATAATACCGTTACGTATAACGTTGATAATACCTGACCAAATTCTTTATAACATTTTGCCAATCGAGCATATCCAACCGAATGTAAAGTAGTATTTCCAGGTGCTATATCATTGTCAATTGGAACATTTGGGAAAGTAAGGATCTTTTCGGCTAGAAAAAAAAAAATATACCGTATGAATATAATTTATATAGGAATTTTAAAATTAACAATTTATGATATAAAATAATACCGTCAATTTTTGCTTCCTCATATCTTTCTAATTGAATTAAACTGAAAAATATTAAAATAAATCAAAAAATAAATTAAAAATAATTTTTTTAGAGATATTTATAAAGACTTTTGAGAAATTAAAATGGATGAATATAGATATAAACAAAAATGTCGTACCAAGTGCACCTACTCAACAAGGGTAAATGAGCATCGGGTAATTTTTCAACAAGAAAACTAAAAATTTTAACAGCTTCATCCAATTTATTTTCAGCGATTAATTGAGAAGCTTTTTGAATTAATTGTGGACCACTTAAAGATTCCATTGATTTTTTTTTAGAAAAAATGAATCGGAATAAGAATTGGAAATTAAGAATTGAAATTAATAAGAATTTTGAATGAGAAATATAAAAAGACTAGTCTACCAATTAATTTTACGTAAAATTGTTTACATTTATATATGTGCGAACCTTAATATCACGTGAATATGAAAATGTGACAACCCACGCGTAAAATATTACGTGTAACCTTGTAGTTTCGCCAAGTGTTTATTTACTGTAATCCATACAGAATTACAATACGTATGAAAAATTTTGTTATTTATTATTTTATGACACATACGTACAATATTACGAAGCTAAGATAGATATGACGATAATTGAAAATAGTTGTAAATATTAGGGTAATGCAGTAATGGTTGTAAATATTAAAATCAACATATTATATTGAAAAAAAAGTGATATATTCGATTAGAGTTTAGAAACCGGTTTTTTTTCATATGCTTAAAAACCGATGAAAAACATTTAAAGCCGGTTTTAAAAAAATTAAAAAACTCGGTTTAAAAACTTTAGATATTTTGTGAGAATATTGATATTGGTACGTTATGATACGTATCTGTATTCATTCAAAATACGTATATTAAAAATTAAAAAATATATTCAGGGATTTTGTTGTAATACTTTTCAATGAAGAGCATTATCAAAATAAATGATTGAATTTAAATAGTGAGTGATAACGATAACAAAATCACAAAATCGAATAATTTAAAATGATTTAATTTTAAATAAAGTTGAATAATGAAAAGAATACAAGGGCGTTATCTAAATGATTAGTTTTAAATAGTGATATTGATACGTAACAAGTTGAGTACAAGCCATTATCATTATTATATATACAGTATTATGTATTAGGAGAGATATCGATATTGGATGAGGGGTAAATCAAATTTAATAATAATAATAAAAAATTAATTTAAAATATTTAAAATTTTTTTTTTTTTTTACGACAAATAATAAATATTTATTTAACAAAAAATCAATAGCAGTAAAGTACGGTAATAGCTTAAATAGTATATAGTTTAAGTTGATTAAAGCTTGATGTCACGTGAACGGAAACCATTGTATAAAGTTTATTTCTGTATTTAAAAAGCCAATCGAATAATAAATGCAGACTTACCTAATAATGTTTATATAACAATCGGACATCGGGGGGAGTTATAAGTAAAGTTAGCCTATCAAAGTCTCGTGACACACTCTTGTGATCTTTAAGAAATCGCGAATATAAGACATATATAACAGTATAAGATATTATAACAGTATAAGATATTATAAGAGTATAAGATATTATAAGAGTATAAGATATTATAAGAGTATAAGATATTATAAGAGTATAAGTAAACAGTATAAGTAAACAGTATATGTAATATACAAGTATTACCAAAATATATAATTTAAATATATATATTTCCAATAGAAATTAAAGAATAAAAATAGCGTAGCGATAATTCATTTATACTTTTATTTTTTTAAGGTAATCAAGTGTACACCGTGATGAAATGTTTCACGATAATGTACATAACAAATCAATTAATATATCGCGTCCCTCATGTTCTTTCTCTTGTTGATCAGAAAAGAAAAATTATAAGATTCATTGTTAAAAGAAGGCGTTATTAACAAATGTTGTATACCGATACACGATAAACCGATACACGATAAGTTACAAAATACAGTAGATAATATATGCGAATGAAAGAAAGCCACAGGGTCCAGCTGTAAAAGTATTAATGATACTTTTTTTAGTAAAGTGGGCAGAACCGAAGGAAAAATAGAGACGCCTTTCGGGTACAAAAGAGGAATGATTAAAGGATAAAAAAAAGGAATTCAGGACATAAAAATGCATTATGATTATAAATCGATTTGCATCAAAGGAGTTAGTAACAGAAAAAAGTAATGACAGAAAAAGTAGTGTAAGAAAGTAGCATTAAAAAAAGCAGTAACATGACATAAAGAGTAGTTTCAAAAAGTATCGGCATAAAGCAATAAAGAGATAGAGTTGCATTAAAAAGGGATAATTGATAATTTAAAAATATTATATATAGTATAAACACAATATACTTTGCAAATAAAAGGATCATAAGGGAGTAACGCAAACTTCGCGACTTATTTTGGTGTCCTCGTGTTGCGACTCGTGAACAAATAAGCACAATATTTTTTTTTTCAATTAGCGCGCATTTGGTGAAAATCGTGATATAATCAGGTAAGTATAATCTTGTAAATATAATCTTATAAATATACAATAAAACCCTAGATGGATATTTGTTTAAAGATTCGATTTTAAGTAAATTTTAAATTTTTATAGTAAAATTTAAAGTAATCTTACAGTAATCTTAAAGTAATCTTAAAGTAAATGTTAGAGTAAATTTTAAAATAATCTTAAAGAAATAATCTTAAAGTAAATCTTAAAGAAATAATCTTAAAGTAAATCTTAAAGAAATAATCTTAAAGTAAATCTTAAAGAAATAATCTTAAAGT